CCCAGAGCCCAAAGTTCTTTGCTTCTCTCCCAGGGTTCTAAGAAAGAGAAGAGGGGTGCCAGCATTCAGTGAGCTCCTACTGTGTGCCTGACACAGTGCTAGGTGCTTTATCTGCACGTTGGCATTTAACTCTCACAAGTACACTTATTTGGAGCTCATAGCAGGTCCAGGGCTGTTGGGCAAGCCCCAGGACAAGCTGCCCAGAGCAGTGAGCGATCTGCCTCTCTTACACAGGGCCCCACCGCATTGGCTGGAATTGTCCAGGCTCCAGCTGTGCGCATCGCTCCAGGCATTTGTCCTGGAGCAGAGTCTTTTCTTACTGTCTCCTTCCTTAAAATGCTGATCAGCAGAAGACCCTTCCTGCAGAGAGAGGCCGCTTGGAAACTGGCCGGGTAGGCTAGTGGTCAAGGGCCACTTCCTGGCCAGATTCCTTCCCTCCTTGGGACCTCAGTTTCTCCTTTGTAAAAGGAGGAAGTTACATTAGACATTTCCTCAGGTTCCGTCGGTTCTAAAATTTGAAGATTTTTATTGCTGGTGCCCTTACCAGAGCTGCTACTGTGATCTCTGAAACATTAGGCTCAGATCTAATTAGACACAGTCAGAGAGTGGAGGAGATTTGCAACTCAGGAGTCATTCTCCCCGCTGGGTTCAAATCCAGGCTCTACTACTTACCAGCTGTATGACTAAGCTTATTTTCCTCGACTATAAACCAGGGACAGCAGTGGTTACCATCTTAAAATAGCTGTGTGTTGTGTGGATTTCAAGGATAACACACGTCTGATGCCTTACACAAGCTCTGCTACATAATAAGCGGTCAGCAAATTTTAGCTGCTATGAAATTTAGGACTTACTCTTTGGGGCTTCCAAATGCCTAGAGTAAGGCCACCCTGGAAGTAGTCAGTACCTCCGGTAGCCCTGACAGCTCATTCTGGGAGCTGTCTTCCAGCTCCGTCCAGGTAACTAAGACCCCAAAAGCAGACACACACATGCCGGTCATGTTGCTGTAGCCCCACTGACCTCTGCTCTGTGGCTGGCCCAGAAAACATTATAGCCTGCTCAGGGAAAACCTTGCATGTTTTGCAAACATGATTTGGTATCACGCACATATTTTTTTTAAATAGGGCAAAAGCTCTACGTGATTAGTGCCGATGCATCCTTCTGGATGTGCCCGGCCCAGCCTGGGAAAGCCTCCTGCAGGCTGCAGAAACCCTGAGCGGTTTTAGAACTGTGTCACGGAATAAAAACATTCCCGCTCACTTTCAGTCTCTGTTTGGGATCTTTGTCTGTCTTTAATTAGAATGGGAAAGCCCTGCTTTTGGGGATTCGGCCTCTGTACCCCAGTCCCAGGTAGAATTTCTGACTCCAATAGTATTGCACATGCTTATCATACCAAGGACATTGCTCTGGGTTGGCGGCCGGGGCAGGGGCACGGGGTGGGGGTGGGCGGTAAGTGAGAAGGTTTGGGGTGTCAAGGGAATCAGAGGAGGAGGATGCAGGTGCAGCAGGTGGGTGTGTGGCGGAGGGACAAGAGAATTTAGGGAGAACAAGGCCATCCCAACAGAGATTTGCCCATAAGCAAATAATTCCACATTGCAGGGGTGGTTGGGTTATCTGTCTTCCCCTGTGGAAGGAAAGCAGCCAGAACCTTCGGGAAGGGCTCAGCTTCTGGCTTTACAGAATGTTCACTGAATAGACGAGCAGACTAAATTCTACAGCTATTAAATACATTTTCTAAGGCCACATGGCACGTTAGAGACACGTATGGGACTGGTCCCTTGACTCCTAGGTCAGTGAGCACTGGGAGAGCTTATGGGAGCAGAGGGTTCTCGGTGAGGCTGGGTTTGGGGTTTATTGACCAGGGCAGCCAGGGGCTCTCTCCAACCTGGAGAGATCTGGGAGACCAGTGAGAGGCAGCGAAGCATAGAGATGCAGTAGCCCTGCTGTCACATGCTCCTGGTCTCAAGGGACCTTTGGCTCCAGGGACCGTTGGCAAGTCATCTCACCTTGGAAATATAGTTTATTTGTGTTTAAAAGAGGAATACTGGTTTACAGAGGCATTCGTGCCTCGGGCATTACCTGTTTCTGCATCTTTGTTCACCCTTTTAACTCTGTAGTACCCTTCCCCCCACCTCCTGTGTAATAATTAAAATTCTACCCACATCCCCAAACCTCACTCAACTGTTTCCACATTCAGGAAGGCTTCCCCAAGCCCCAGAGAAAAGTGACTTCTCCCATCTAAATCCCTGAATCTTTTAAGATGTACATCCTCATGACTCTCGAGTCATGCTTTAAATTAGGCAAGGGATGGAAGCGTTAGCCCCCTGCCTCCACCCCAGAATGTCAGCTTCTTGGGGGGAGCTTTTCTAAATCATCCTTCACAGACCCTAGCCTGGCTCCTTGCACGTAGTACGTACTCAATAATAAATCTTTTCTGGAATAAATTCTAAATAATGGAATGGTTGGCTGCTCTCTGTTCTTTCCTCCAGACGTAGACCCCACAGGAAAAGTTAGCTTCCCACTGGAATTTCGGTTACTAGCCCTTTGCCTGGAATGCATTCTGTTCCTTGGTCCGTTGGCTTTGAATTGGCTTTCATCTCCCGGAATGTTCTGAATCTGTTTACCATTTAGAAGAGAAGTGCTGAAAACAGGATTCCTACTCTGCACCCCCCTGATAGCTGCAGGAGTGTGGGGAGCCCACGCCCCGTGCCTGGTGCAGTTCTGGCTCCTCACTTCCAGAAGAAAAGCAGTGAAGCTCAAGACCGAACAGAGAGAGGGAAGAGGGAGAGACCGAAAGACGGAAGTGAAGGTTCTACTGCCTAACACTGGGGCAGTTTTTCAGCCCGGTTCCTAGAAAGGGACTTGGTGTCGGACCTCTTTGCATCCCTAAAAGGGCTTTGCTCAATAAACGCTTTGCAAATGTGCGAGTCAATAAGCGAGGGCATGCATTAGCAAGTGAGGGAAAAGAATGAATGGGCGAATAAATGCGTGAGTGAACGGAAAGAAGCAAATGCTGAACAAATGTAGATAGGAATAATCGAGGACATGCATGCATGCATGCGTGCATGAATGAATGAATGAATGTTCAAATGTAGATAGGA